ACGCGGCCTTGTGGGGGTGGAGCGAGCCTGTTGCGCAACACCAGCAGTAAACTGTATTTCCTCGAGAAAGGTATCCCGCTCGGAAGCGAACTTGCGCAGTGCAATGTCGAATTCCTGGTCGCTGAGGCCAGAGCCGCCAAGCTGCAGGCCCTTGATGGTGGCGCTGCTACGATTGCTTGCAGTCTGCTTGGAATCGGAGCCAATGCCAACGATTGTACCATTGGACTGGCGGTTTTCGCTGAATCGGTTCGCAGACCTCCGTCGAGTGGTGTCGGCATTGGACAGGCCGTCCTGGGAGGTTGGGCGGATTGAGTCTGTCTCGAGGGCGCGGTCCTCCTCGATGGTCTCATCGACCGGGGGTTGTGCAAGCGGCGAGGTTACTATGCCATTGTTCTGGGTGCGCTCGTCGTAGACCTGCGAGGACTCAATGCCAGATATGAAGAAATAGTCGGCCAAGGGGGTGGACGACTGGTCGGCCGTGGACGAGGGAGCGGGCGCCATGTTAGGTCGTGGGCATAGGATATCCAAAAAAGATGGGCAATCAAAGAGCGTCGTGGGGTGCGCGGGCGCGGCGTGTAGGACGTCTAGTCGGCGTGTGTCTCTAGGTCATTGGAGATTGGACGCCAGCTCCAACGGTGGTTTGTGATGCGGCAGCGTACGGCTTATGCACGGCAGAGGCAGAGCGTGTGCGACGGGGGACAGAGAAAGCGGTTGCACGGGCGGCGGCCTGGCAGCGAAACGAGCGGGGGAGCTTAGCCGGAAGCTGCGACTGGGTAGAGTGGTCGCGAACTGGTGTCGCAGAGCGTCTTGTATAGCCAAATGTTGCTTGTTTGCGGGCGAAAAGAGTGAATGGGCAGAGGGTTGGCGGAGAAGGGTTCAGTGCACACTGCGCTCGGTCACAGGCGATTCAAATGGACAGGCTCCGGCCTGTTCGAGCAACTAACCCACATGCACCCTCGTCGCAGGGCTCACACCCGCTTGCGCTCTTATCGCTCGCAGAAGACAGTCTAGCGCTTAACAGCTCCCGCGTCGACTGCCCCTCGGCCTGGACCGGACTGCTGCACCTCGCAACAATCTCGACCTGTCAGCGTTGCCGGCGGAGAGGCGAGGCTGACGATGCAAGGCACCCGCGCACTCCAAAGTGTATTTGCGCCCAGCGTTTGAATCCAATGTCGCCATCCGTGGTACTCTCGCCGTCGCGCCCCATGGACATGCTGCATCCAGCACAGGCATATCCGTCGCTGTGCCGTCGTCCCCTGTCGCCCTGTTAGACCCTGTCCTCGGAAAGCACGACCAGGGGCTGCGCATGGATTGGGAAGGCACGGCCTAGGGCCTATCCGCTTTGGGACGGCGCGCGATTGGCAGAGGGCTGAAGTGGGATTGGCTGCGGGCCAAGCACTGGCTGTCGGCATGGCAGCATTGCGCGTTCAGGGGTCGTCAAATGGCTGCTGGCGACCAACACGACTGTTATTAGGCCACAAACACTGGTGGTGTGCGTCCAATTTGCATGTGTTTCACCTTCGGCGTACAGCACGCATACACGGCATCGCACTCTGCTCAGGAATAGGGGCACACATGCTGTGTACCCTATACGATCCCATACCACGGTTCACTGCCTGCACTGCACATCTTCAACCTCCGAAACAAAGAAATTCAAATGCCCCACGACCACCTGCAAACGGCCGAACATCTCTCTAAACGCCCATGGCATCATTTACTGTACCTGTCAACAGCATACTGCACTCCTCACTGCCAACAAACACTCTTACAATCGCCGCCATGCCTTGTCTTGCCTTGCCTTGCCTCGTCTCGCCATGTATGTGCATAGATAGCTGCAGTACGCCAGCCCGGCATCGTATGCTCTGACCACCATCTAAACCGTTGCCGTTTCAACTCTGCCTGCCGGACTGTACAAAACGGTGCATGTCTTCCTACGGGACATGGTGCCGCATATGTCTTGACTACCGTGCTCGAGCTGCGCATCCGTCCAGCCAGAGACATATGTAGGATATGCACATGTCGATCCCGCTGTGGATAGCCGATTCCGACACAAAGTCCTCAACCGTCACTGCTTGTGCGAGCGCGTTTAATCTGACAGCTGCAGCCACCTCGAACAAGTCAGTCAGTGCTCTCCCAACTTTCGTATCTCACAATTGAATGCATACTTGGTGGCGTGATGATCAAACATATCAAAAGCCCACATTTGACCGAGATAAGATGACAACTCTGCGATCGCCCGACCCTCGAGCAGTTCGTGAGATTGTCATGTCCAGTTCCCGTGTCTGTCGACTCGTCGTACCAGGATTAGTGACAGCGTCTGGGGTACCCTGCTCTCTCTGCCGTGCTTCACCAAATTCTCATGTTGATTCCCCATCGGCCTTGTCGGACTTCATCAGAGATGATCGCTTTATCGCTCCATCTGCTTGTTGCATCGGAGGTCAATGCTGCAAGTCTATAATTGCTTTCTTAGGAGAATTGTTTCCGTGGTTCTGACGAAATCGATAGCTTGATCATCGACGCTGCCCTTGCTTTTCCGTACGCTTCGCCTGGCGATCGTCCAAGAGATCCTCCTCCGCATTCCGGCTGTCTAATTCGAAATACCCATGTACTGTGTAACATCACTCTGGAGGTGGATCGTTGTTACAAATTACCAACAGATTCTTCGCAAATCCCCACACCTCTGTTATGGACATGTATATAGCCGGTGGCAGACAAACATGCTGTGGTACGCATATAAACGTAGTCCAAAGTTTACTTTTCACTGTTCGGCGATGTTGTTTGGACCACTCGACTCATGTTGACATCACGCACGGAGCAGGTTCCGAATGTCCAGGTGGCTTCAGCAAGTGCAAGGCTAGTTCGATACTGCCAGACCAAGCGCTTGGAACTGCAGGTACCGGCGCCAGAACCTTCGGTCGGAGATATACAATCCCTAGCGACGTTAGACAGGGCCATGCAAACTTTATTGTAGACTCCCTCAGCGTCGAGCCGTAAGCCATCCAGTACTGAGAGAGCCTCTGTCGCCCAATGCACTTCGCCACTGGATGGCAAGCTGGCCTAACACTCTCTTGTTGTCTTCCGTAATGGAGTCTGTCATGTCTTCGTCGTTATCGCTAGGCTGGTGATCAAGAAGAAAAGCTACCTGCACCACGTCCCGTGGGCTCAGTATCGGCGCACTGGGACCTGAAGGTTGCATATCCCAATTAAGTGGTGTCGATCTGAGAGGTGGTTTCGGGTTTACACTGACTGCCTATTGGGAGTCAGTGGTGGTTTGATGCCTACTAGGGCTATGGTTGTTGTGGTAGGCTATCTGAAGCAGCGAAATAGCGCCGGATCTACACCACTGCCGGATCGGACTCTGCGATCGAGCTAGTGATGGAGCCGAAATCCTCAAGTCAAAGCCACACGGCCTGACTCGTTGTTTGGAATAAATGAATAGTACCGGAACATGAATCGTGATATGTTGAAATCGCTGACGTACCTCTAGACACACAGCAGCTTCTCCCATGTTCTCCAATTGTGCTTCTAGGAGGTATCGTGAACATCCGTTCTTTGGGCCCATCTCTCCAGCTTTTGTGCGAACGCTCAGTAACTGTTGGGCCACGAACTGATACAGTTTACGGAACGTCCGAACTCTTCCTGACGCTGCCCTCCCTTCTCCTAGGGCCGTCTCCGTATATGTGACAGTGACTGCCAGGACATGATTGCCCTCTTCCTTAAGTTCAAATCTTAGGATACGTTGTAGTGATTCGGCTGGTCCTGGAGAAGCGTTTTCCACCTCTCCTTGCAAGCCAGACAGGTCCAATGGTGAGCCTGTGGGGTTCGACGGCGTCTGCATATCACCCTGTATCCGCACACCACTAATCGCTTTTGTGTTGTCGGCTGGATCGAGCTCGTTGTTCGCGCATAGTGTACAGGAGAAGGTCTCGCCAACATAGGCGCTCCCGAATGCTTCAGGGAGATTTAGCACAGGACTCAGGACAAATTGATCGTTTGCGTCATCCGGCGTGGGATAGGCGAGTGAGGCTTTGGGAGATATGCCTAGATCTCTAGAGTTCGGGAGAGGGTGCTGCACAGCAAGGGATGGACGAGACAATCTATTAACATCGTTAGTTTGCCAGCTGTTTATTTGACCGGCAGTCGTAGTATACGATGAGGTAGACGAGCCGCTATCAACCTCCATGTAAGATGATGCAAGCATCGGTTTCGTCATGGGCCGGTGTGCCCAGGCTGTGCTGGAAAATCGACAACATACCGCAGAACCTTCAGACTGACAGAATGCGCAGTCTTGAGAGTGTCTCCCATCGCCTGCCCTCGTTGCTGAGCCATATCGACAACCGTCGTGTCGCAAGGACTTGTGACGAAAGCGGCCAGCGTGAGCGGAAGCTTGAGTGGGGCGTAAACCGCACCTGGGTCCAAGCCTTCGGACCGCGGAATTAGCGCGTTGACAAAATTTTGTGATTCGATTACCAAAAGTGATGTAGGAATCGAACTGTGTTGAGATGTTTACTTGTTTGTACACTTGAATCCAATTCCATCACTTTGCAACGTACCAGGATTTTTCTAATTATTATGGGTGTCAAGGCATCATCAGACGATATCCCGCTTCAACGATGTCCAGACATCGCTATCAAGGTTGATACACCAAAAGGTCTGTTCTCTCAGACATCGCGTTCGTTGCAAACAACTGACGTTGCATACAGGGCGTGGTGTGTTCGCTACCAGAGACATACCAGCGCGGACGATCATAGACATATGCCCAGTATTGATTTTAGGAATAGAAGAAAACAAAAAGCACATAGAAAACACCTCGCTTTATCATTATACCTAGTATGTAATCTCCCATAGCAGGCAGTGTCTTTTCTCACAGACATACATACACTCAGTTTCCCCCAGTCTTTCTACTCATTACTACAGACAGTTGCACTAGTCGCGTCTTAAAAGCATCGACATGACTAATCGATGCATCTGTTGGAAATGGGATTAGAGATGTTGCAAGTATGAGAAACCTAACTCATCCCAGCAATTGGCCAATTGTAGACAACAATGGCAATAGCAAAGTCGCCCAGGCCGTCATATTCGGATTGGGAAGCATGTTCAACCACTCTACCCAAGAACAAAACGTGGGATGGATGCGTGATACTCAACGCCAAATTATTACGTACCGAGCACTGAGAGATATTCCCGCAGGAGAAGAGCTTTGTAAGTGAAAGAGCTGAAATTGATAAACGGTTGCGCTAACAAATGCAGGCATATCATACGGAAGTCATCTGACCTTCAAAGACGCAGATGCTACACCTCCAACGCCACCGGAAGACGAAATTGAACAGCTTCGAATGATTGAGCCTTATTAAGTAATCTTTGGAAGTACAGAAAGTACAGAGGTCGCAGAATCGTTGACTGCAATACAAGACGCCTACCGGAATGAGACAGAAATTTGGGGGAGATGCGGGTACTGAGTGCGGAGTTAATCATTTACGCCAACATGTACAGTGCCGATGGAAGGATGAGGACATATCATGTGCTGAGAGGCTCAGGCTTTTCTGTCGACGGTGTAACCTCAGCAGAGCTGTTGTTGTCTTCGGCGTCGTTCCTCAGGTCGTATGCGAGCTCGAAGCATTCCTCCAGAAGTTGCGTCACTCGACCTTGGCCATCAGGTATCTCGTCGCCCACCATGAACTTGCCGTCTACTCGCATGTTGTCAATGGAATTTAACTATATTTGAGTTAGCAGGCGTGACAGTGTTTCGATGACGTGGTGCACGAACCTTCATACTGTAGGGGTACAGCTCCCTTGGTGAAGATACACCTCCCAACTTCTTGACTTCAAGCAGGCATTTTCGGAGTGTAGTTAGTTGGTTGTAAATCGGCAGTAGAGCCTCAGATACAGGCTCGGATGTCAAGAGCAGTTGGTAAATGAGAGCGTAGCTCTTCCGGAGAAGGTACAACAATGTCTGTAACTTGTTAGTGGGTCCTCACATTTGGATCTACGGAAGCATACTCTCTGCTCGTAAATCTCCGATGGCCGTCCAAGCGCATCGACAAAGTTACCGTCAACTCGGGCTTCGTCTATACGATCAAGCTGTCGCTGAAAGTCCCAAAGATCCGTCTCACGAAGAGACCATGCCTGAGTTAGGGTAAGCTTTTCGAGCTTGTTTCGTATTGAAAGAAGTTTGTCATAGGTATCCTTGAAAGCGGGCGCAATACGTCCTTGCCTGTCTGTACGTTAGCTGGATTCACGGGGATCATGAATGGTACCAACTTTTGCTTAATCAACGTAACCCATAGCAGATTGCGTCGTAGCAGGGTGCCAATGAGTGTTTTGGCGTCTGGCGCCGACTCAGGGTGTTCGGTGGCGAGTTGCATTTTGTCGACCATTTCGGCCAGCTTCTCTTCAGTAGTTCCTTCTGTCTCATATGCACGAATGCCGTACTCTTTTAATTCCTCGTCAAGTTTGTTAAGCTCCTCTGAGTACTCCTCAACTTCATCATGTGGGAACTAGATTCCTAGTTAGCATGGGTTATGGAATCGCCATGAATTCACTGACTTTGGATCTTGCGTTGCAACCGCAAAGTGATCTTAGTATTGAGACCAGCTTCTCCCATTTCGGTGTCAGCTCGGGTGTGAGCTCAGATAAGTTGAGCTTCAGTTCTGCTAGCGTCTCCTCGCAAACCTTGATGCGGGCGTCAAGGAGGGTAAGTAAATGAGGGCTGTACTCTTCTCGACCTCTCTCAACATATCGTCGGCAATCTTGTAGGTTCTTGTCGAGTGCTTCCAGGTCCTTTTGTGAATAGAAGGTTGCTTCTTTGAGGTGATCTAGTAAGCGCTGTTTGATGTCAGGAACGTACATAATAAGCTCCGACATACATAAATACCTTGATCGTTGAGATGTAGGAGTATCTTAACAACAGTGTCAGCTGGATCGTAGTAATACATGACATGATTGAAAACTAACACTGCTGGTGGCTCGTGGTTCTTTCCGACGGTCAAATAGGCAAGTGAAATGAGCTGAAAGCAGTCATCAAGCATGTAATCAACTATGTGACCATATCAGTAACAGCAACCTCCATCGGGCAAGTGGCAACGTGACATACCTTTGTTCTGCTCCAGACGTTTGGTTTCGCGTATCTCGTTGAGGATCATAACCTGCTCGATGACTTGGTCGTACAATTTCAAGACATCTTGGCTCTTGACATAAGTTGACCGATCACGCTTCAATAGTTCAAGCTCCGTCCGTATAGACTGCAGCTTGTCGAGGATGGGCTGCTCTTTCGGATCCAGCGGGATCCGCGGGAGTGGGGAGTCGGTCATCGTGTGCTGCAGACGCGGATCGGCAACAGATGGGGAGATCTTTTGGTGGGGTTGAGGCTAATCCGAACGGTGGTGAAAGCTGCAACTCTGCGATATGCGAAACTTGGAAGTGGCCGGTCGGGCAGCCAAGACGCAGCTTGATAGCGGGGAAAGTGCTCGGACGTCACCGAGGGGCAACCGCGAGAATGCGCTAGCTCCCAAACCAGCTAGACATCGCTAAGCGAAAGCCACGGTTAGCGCCTTCCACACCATCAATTCAATTCACCAGCGCCGAAACTCTCAACATCTCGACTCCCGACAGTATCACGATCACAACCGTCGCAATGTCTACCTCCGAGCTCGCCACCTCTTACGCCGCTCTCATCCTCGCTGATGACGGTGTCGACATCACTGTACGACTCCCGAGGTGCCATTCGCAATCGCGGACACATTGGCTAATTTGAACAGGCCGACAAGCTTCAATCCCTCATCAAGGCCGCAAAGATCGAGGAGGTCGAGCCCATCTGGACGACCCTGTTCGCCAAGGTGCGCATACACGAACACGCTAGAATTCCGAACACGAAATTGATATGTGAATAGGCTCTTGAGGGCAAGGATGTCAAGGACCTGCTACTGAACGTCGGCTCAGGCGGCGGTGCTGCCCCCGCTGCCGGAGGCGCTGCTCCTGCCGCTGGCGGTGCTGCTGATGCCGCACCAGCTGCTGAGGAGAAGAAGGAGGAGGGTATGTTTACCACACGCTTTTTGTGCAACAAGGAACCGAGACTAACACACAACAGAGAAGGAGGAGTCGGACGAGGACATGGGCTTCGGTCTCTTCGACTAAGCGTCTCGTTTCCCTTCCTTTCTTCGACATTTGCCTTTCTCGGGGTTGCAAAACGGATTCATCAGCGGGCATATTCCCATTGCTGGGGTGGGACAGTCACGACTATTCGGTGACACGACTTGCATACGGGCCCTCCCGGAAGAACAAAGACGGCGTCATGAGATATGTTAGGTCGGCAGGTCAATGAATACTTCGAAAAGTGCAAAGAACGGACACATGACGTGATGTCGCAGAACAGAATTACATCGGCTGCGACAACATTTCAAGAACGGTGATCCATTGGTGCATGGCCTTGGACCAGAAATATGGTGCATGTGATACGTCGACACGATTCTGTCGTCCAGATCACCCACTAACGTTTTGCGACTCCGAGATGTAAGCCTAGGGTTACTCTAAACGACTTTGCTTACTGTCCTCAATGTCCTATGGTGCAAGGCCCAGCACCGCACTAGCGTGTACACATCGCCGTCCTTCTAGTTCTTTATGTCCGCTAGCCTTTACCATGACTCACCTTTTCAATTGTTTATAACCATCGCGATATGCCTCAGAGACTCGAGTGATGCAACCTTGTTCCTCATGCCCATCCCAGACTTCGATGTTGCCGTACCCATCACCACCCTGCGTTTCATGCTGGATCTAAGCACCCACCAGAAAGACTTGAAGATAGTACATTCAGTAGCGTTCGATCCTGCGCCCTATGTATGTCTTCGAACTTGCACCACCTATCGAGGAGTACTTTTCGCGGCATATTGCTTTCTCTAGTGTGCTTGTACGCTCTTCTAACGCTAGATATGGACGAAAAAGGTGTCAGTGCATATGTCTTTGCACTATCTATTGTGGCACGAGAGCACCCGATGAGTGGCGTCTTAACGATGACGAGGAACGTTGAGGTTTTCACTCCTTTGGCGCACAGGCTCGTCTCTTCTCGGTCGACAAACTGGGGATCATTGGAAGATTCGGACCAATGATGAACGCTAGTGTCCGGGTGCTAGGAGTACTTCATCTGAAGCCAACTCGTGAAGACTTGCATATTAACAATGGATATGTCGCCTAGTTGAACAGCACGAACACTCTTGTTCCGAGAAATATGAGCGAGATCGAGGGCATGCATGGTGAGCAAGAGACAGAGGACAGTGAAAGCCCTAGTTCCCTTAGTGTTTGAGACTGATATCAAAAGTCTCCTGCGTAGGGTATGGCTTAACTGATCAGCAATAGCACAGCAGCTTAGTATGGAGACCTATAGCTCTGCTCCAGTGCACGTCTCGGAGTATACTCGGCTGGTCATATTGATTCCACTGGCAGTAGGGCGAGATAGTGATGGTTGAAGGTACGGGAATGAGAGACCTAGTGAGAGTCAGAGGCTAGTGGTTATTCGTTCTCGAGCTAGATGTGAGGAAAGAGGTGAGGCTGGATAGATAGTGGCATGAATATTCTGCTAGCTCCTACTTCCTGTGTTGAGCAGAGAAGATAGATATCTTTATCGTGCCGTGTACCACGACAATACACTAAAGACAAAGATAGAAGCTGCGATACTTGTATCTGCAACAAATCAACCGAACAGCTTTCTGTCAATTTGTCACCTCTATTGCGCCTACAAAGACCCAAGGTGCACATTTGGATTCGCTTGCTTCGGCAATGTTGATTTCAGAGACGCTAGCAAGAATATTGCTATGATGTCAATTGGCGATGGGATCTAAGGTGTTCAGTAACAAAGAAGGGCAAGCTTTTTCGGAGCACCCTAAACACCATTCGGGGCAAGAGACAGGGGAAGGCATCTCCACTTTGGAGAACATTGGATGTCACGCCTATACAGTGAGTCGGCGATGAAAATAGAGACTGATATCAAGACCGGATGCTGCACATGCGTGCCATGATGATTGCTGTGCTCATTGTGACATACTCGGATCCAGGATAGTTTACATATCCGCTCCGATATAAGCAAAATATGCGCCTACTCCATGCCCCTATGCAGATACAGAGATACAAAGTACGTGAATGTCGACTCGATCACAAGTCATTCGCGCGAAGAAGCTCCTCGTCGTAAGACATGCCGTTGATGCGCTTCTTGGTGAACTCGAATGCAGTAAAGAAAATCGCGTTGACTATGCAGGAGCGAGACATGGAAACACCAAGGCCTGGGTCAAGTTAGTATTGAATCCCAGAAAGTGTGGAAAGGTATGCTCACCTCGATACATCCGACGACTAAAGAAATGGATCTTCG